TGAACCCACGAACTGTGAGATCATGACCTGAGCCGAAGTCGGACGCTTAACCGACTGAGCCACCCAGGCGTCCCTACCAGGTGCTGTTTTAAGCACTTTACAAGATACAACTTTTCAATTCCCTACCTTAGAGAGGTGGATACTCTCATTTTCCCCATTTTACAGCTGAAGCTGAGGCTCAGAAAGTTTAAGTAACTTGCCCAAGGACACACAGCTAATGATAGCAGCGTCTGAACTTAGTCTGTGCTCATCACCTCTACACTCCATTGCCTCTCCAATATTGCATCATCTCACTTAATCCTTAAAACAAATCTATAAGTGTTGGAACTCCTGTTGGACTGAGGAGGAAACTGAGGTTCAGAGAGGGTAAGGAGCTGAGATGTGAGCCCGGGAGTTCACGATTCCAAGGCCTGTGCTCTTACCCATGAGGTTTTGAAGTAGCCCCCTTGGGGTCTTCCTGGTCTGTAAGGCAGGTTATATCTGTGATTTGAGAACAGAGTTTGAAGGCCTGTGCAGGTCTGGGGAGGTGCAGGGAGCTGTCCCCTGGCCTGGCCATGGCAAAGAAAATCTGTTTTCTCTAAGTCCAGTGGATCCCACAGCCCTGGGATGAGACAAATTTGAATGTTGCCTGGGTTGACTAAAGGATTTTAAAGGAAAATAAAAGTGCTAAGTATTTGGGTATCTTTGATTGAGTATTCTGTCTGTGGTGTCCAGTCAGGAATTATTAGATAATGCCCATGGCAACTTTGGCTTTCCAGGCTCCCAACTACCTTGAGAAAGACCAACTAAGCCTGTGGGGCTGGAGCCATTGAGTGGCAGATCTGAAAGGGAATAGGATCCATCTGTAATGCTAATGAGTTGGCCTGAGGCCCTACAATGACTCTTCACATTCTGAATATACCTTAGACCCGAGTTAAAACCCCTGTCCCTTCCTGGCTAAAGGGTTTGGGGTAATACTTATCCTGTCTGAGCCTCATTTTTTTTTTTTTCTTCATCTGTTAAAATGCAGGTGATGCTCACAGCATAGACACAGATGCAGGAGTTTGATGAGAGAAGTCAATGAGACATTTATGCAAATCTCTCAGGACAAAGCTAGGCCTACAGTAAGCAGTCAGTATGGGTTAGCTGTTGCTATGAATACTGTCCTCTTCATCTGCAGCCAGGTTTCCTTGTTGTGAGTGCCAGAACCACTATCCACAGCTTTTTCAGAGCAGGTAGAACCACTCTTGGGACAGAGAATGGACAGTGTTTGGGGGAATTACCTCACACTTACCTTGCCTATCTGAAAAGCAGGGCTGGCTTCTGGGAGCTGCAACACCACGCTACTCTCTGGGAAGATAGCCCTGCTGGTGATGGGTTCCCACCTCACTCAGTATGACAGTCCCAAACAACTCCACTTTTGTAATCAGTTTCATGTTTCAATGACTGCAGAATTTTTAGGTCTGGAAAAATTCAGTAGTCCATCCCTTTATTCCATGACTTAAGTCCTCTCTGCGTCATCCTTGCATGCAGCAAGTAAGCCTACCTGGTTACCTATAATGACAGGGAGCTCACCATTTAATCTCATAGTTGATCATAATTATTACAATTTTTTTAAATGTTTGTTTATTTTTGAGAGAGAGAGACAGAGCAGGGAATGGGTGGAGAGAAAGGGAGGCACAGAATTCAAAGCAGGCTCCAGGCTCTGACCTGTCAACACAGAGCCCGCTGTGGGGCTTAAACTCATGAACTGCGAGATCATGACCTGAGCTGAAGCTTGACGTTTAACCGACTGAGCCACCCATATGTCCCAATAATAATTATTAATCATAGCAAATATGTATTAAAAACTTATTATAGCCAAGCACTATGTTAGCACTTGACATTTAATCCTTAAAATGGCCTTCTGTATGTGATCCCCATTCTGCAGAATGAGCAATTAAGACTTGTGAGGTTAAGTCACCTGCCTGAAACTGCACAGCCCATACCCTTAATGTTTGTGCTGCGGAGTCTAGATATTTGTATGTCTACTTTTGTGGATTTCTTTGCCTAATTGTCCACTGTCTATTTCCTCTCCTTAACTATTCATTAGCTCTTCATTCTGGGTAACTTAACTCACTTAGGCTACAATTGGCTGAAGCTGGTTTTCATAAGAGCTAATGTTTAGTGAACATTGATTATGTGACAGGCATTGTATAAGTGTTTTTCATTTACTGTAGTCCTTAATCCTCACAACAATCTTAGAGGCAAATGCTATCTGTCCCTAATTTTATAAATGAGGACACTGATGCACATGAGGTTAAGTGATTTGCTATGTCGCTCACCTGGTAAATGATGGAACTGACATTTGAACCCAAGGACTGATCCTGGAACACAGGCTCCTAACCACTGGTCCTTCCTGCCTTCTCTAGGACTGGGGAAGGACTAAGCTTCTTGTGTAAGGCTGTCAGACAGGTTTCATTTTCCTCTATATTTTCCTTCTAAAAGTCAGCCATTATTCTAGTTTAGCCCTGCTTTTTCTTTTCTTTTCTTTTTTAAGTGTTTATTTATTTGAGAGATAGATAGAGAGCAATTGGGGGAGAGGGGAGAGGCAGAGAGAGAAGGAGAGAGATAATCCCAAGCAGGCTCCACAGCGGTCAGTGCAGAGCCCACATCCACAGAGCTCGAACCCACAAAATGTGAAATCATGACCTGAGCAG